CAGAGAGGCAGGCAGAGAGAGAGGAGGAAGCAGGCTCCCCACGGAGCGGAGAGCCCGATGCAGGGCTCGATCCCAGGACCCTGAGATCATGACCCGAGCCAAAGGCAGAGGCTTTAACCCACTGAGCCACCCAGGCGCCCCAATAAATCTTTTTTTTTAAGTGTTTATATCTCTCTAGGTATAAACACTAATTCAGATATTTACTAATCTCTCTCTCTCTCTCTCTCTCTCTCTCTATATATATATATATATATATATGGATATTATGCACAGACTCTAAAATCCTAAAGTGTTGTTCTGCCCTGCATATCAGATATGAAATCTCCATCTCTAATGATGCATCTCGAAAAAGTCACACCCTGAATGGAAATTTCACCAGTGCAGTAAATCTTGAGATTTTATTTGGGCTCACCCTGCTAAGATTCTCCGAAGGTAATACTCCTTGCCACCACTGATAATATGGTGTTTTTGTGCAGATGTTCATAGAGAAGTAAATCAAAAAGAATTAGCCAAGCTGATGAAGCAATTTGGTCAAAAACATCTTTTAAACTTGCTTTGCCTTTTAAAGAAGTTTATGGATGCAGAAGAATGTTAATGGTACACCTATTACACCTGTGTCTAATGAACAGCGCCTCTGTTTTACCTTTACGGTCATCTAGGGCCTTTTCATGGCCTATAGCATGAGTCAGGACAAAAAACACGTGGCAAGCACAGTTGCTTTTCCTCACTCCTGCTGGTTCTAGAACAGAAGGTAAAGCAAGACTGTCCCAAAGCAGGCACAGCCAGAGTTTTAAGGCCCAGAACCCATACACGAGGCCCGAGTGGCATGGCTTCCTTACAAACAGAATTTTCACCTTAAATAATTTTTAGTTGCTGAAATCCCTAGACCATTTTTGTTTCAATGGGAGAAAGAGTCCACAATACCCTGCTTTTTGGCTATCTCAGTTGCTAGAGCTGCTGAGGCCAGGAAAATGTGTGTGAAAGACAACAGAAAGTGGGCAGCTGAATTTACCCTACCTGCATCCTTATCTCATTTATATCCTTAGCCCTGCTTATGAACTGCTTTTGTGGTAAACCCAAATAAGAGCCTTGAACCAAGTCCAAGTTGGGATTCTCACCCACCTTCAAACTAAAGACGAAGGTTTGTGTTCCAGTCCAAGATAGAGAGGCATAGAGATAATATAGGAAAAGGCCTTATTTTAAAAATCTTTCTAATTTCAATCAAATAAAAATGAAAATCTTACTAATTCCAGACCAGTGGATGAAGTAAATGTAATATGTCATGCTAATAAACTACCGGTCAGACTTCTGGCTCGACAGAACTTCTCAACTCTCCATCCTGGCGGTACTTGACCCACAGTCGGCCTTTCTTGCTTCGGCTGTCATCGCCTCTTCCCGACAAACTCCCCACAAGAGGAGTCTGCTGTCACTCTCAGATTGCTTTCTGCTCATTCACTCCTCAGCGTCAAACTGCTTCTTGTTAAGGTCACCTGTGGCTGAGGTCCCACAGCGGCCCCTCCCTGACTTGTCTCCCCTGTCATCGGACATGGTGACCATCCCTGACTTTTTACAGTCCCTCCGCTTGCCTTCTGCAGTGGCACGTCTTCTTGTCCTGCTTACCCTGGTCTCTCACTCTGTCCTATCATTCTGCCAAGTCTCCCCTTCTCTGCTTGCGGGAGGCTACGATACTTTCATCCTTGGACCTCTTTCTGTTTTTTTTTTTTAAAACATTTTATTTATTTATTTGAGAGAGAGAGAGACAGTGAGAGAGAGCATGAGCGAGGAGAAGGTCAGAGGGAGAAGCAGACTCCCCGTGGAGCTGGGAGCCTGATGCGGGACTCGATCCCGGGACTCCAGGATCATGACCTGAGCTGAAGGCAGTCGCTTAACCAACTGAGCCACCCAGGCACCCCCTCTTTCTGTTTTTATACTCTAACCAGATCGTCTCACTTGATCCCACAGTTTCAAATACACTGACTATCCCAAAGCTGATGTTCCCACCCCTCTTCCTCTCCCAAGCTCTAGACCCGTATTTCCAATGGCAATTTCTCCTGCCTGTCTCCCGGCGTAGCTGCACAGCATGTCTAAAACTGACCTCATTTCCATCTTCTCCCCTCCCACCCGCCCAAACTGCTGTGCCTTTTGCGCTGGCGATCTTCTCCTGTCATCTCTGTTCACTCAAAGCCAGGAACCTTTTCTTTTAATTAAGATATAATTGATACATAAACACTATATTAGTTTCAGGTGGCCGGTATAATTATTCGATATTTGTGTATGTTGCAAAGTGGTCACCACAATGAGCTAATTAACATCCATCACCACAAACAGTTATGATTTTTTTTATAATGAGAACTTTGGAAATCTAATCTTAGCAACTTTCAAATATACAATGCAGAATTATTAACTGTAGTTACCATGCTGCACATCACATCCCCATGACATTTATTATATAGTTTGTAAAAGCTAGAAACATTTAAGTCTTTCTCTGCTTTTCCTTTGCTATCGGACCCTACTTCCACTGGGGAGTTTATCCATCTTACTTTAAAACATGCCTTGAGGGGAACCTGGGTGGCTCAGTGGGTTAAGCCTCTGCCTTCGGCTCAGGTCATGATCCCAGGGTTCTGGGATAGAGCCCCACATCGGGCTGTCTGCTCAGCGGGGAGCCTGCTTCTCCCTCTCCCTCTCTCCACCTCCTCTCCCCAACTCGTGCTCTTCTTCTCTCAAATAAATAAAATCTTTTTTTAAAAATGCCTTGAATCTGGTCCCCTTTCATTCTAATCGCCAGATTTTTTTTTTTAAGATTTTATTTATTTAGGGGAGCCTGGGTGGCTCAGTGGGTTAAAGCCTCTGCCTTTGGCTCAGGTCATGATCCCAGGGTCCTGGGATCCAGCCCCACATCGGGCTCTCTGCTCAGTGGGGAGCCTGCTTCACCCTCTCTCTCTGCCTGCCTCTCTGCCTTCTTGTGATCTCTGTCTGTCAAATGAATAAATAAAATCTTAAAAAAAAAAAATACTCCATGCTTTATGGACAGTTACAAGCTTCTAATTTTGTTCCTTGCTGACTGTTCTTCCCAGAATATATTATTCCACATCCTTCCTTCCCAGCAAATTCCTACTTACCCTTCAATATCACCTCAAATTTCAACTTCCTCAGGCAGAGTTAGTTGTTCTCCCCAGTATTCCCTCTGCATCATTTTGAGCGTCTCAGTCTTCAGATTTATTCAGGAAATCGCCTTATTCATTGTTACGTCCCAGCAGTGCCCATACTTAGGTGGTGCCTGATAAGAGAAAAAGTGAATCAACTAGACAAAATGAAAATAAACCCAGAAATTTAGGATTAAA